ACTTGTGGCACTCAACACCTACAGTTGATAAGATAATACTGAAGCTGGACACCAATCCCAGTGAAACTGACACTAGCAGTCACCATCTTTGATGTAATGGTTGACTTGAAATTGTTGTGACTACCAATTGTCATAATACAGGGTAGGTATTTGTTTCAGACTGTACTACCACTACTACCAGTCATACTGTGTATATGTACATTACTGAAGCAAACACATACTACCTTCCACCCTATGGCTCATTGACGTTAAACTTGCATGTGAAGCTCCAAGGCCAACAGACTCCATCTGGAGTACAACAAAGTAACCGAACAAATGAAACCTTGAGGAACCTTACTTTGTCTTAAGTCTTCTATTTCTTAGAAACAAACTCTAATCCTTCTAAAGGCAGGAGTCTGGGACAAATACCAGTCTCCTTGTCCCAGCAGGCTGTGTTGTTACAGATGTCTGACTTCACTTTCAACTGACTCAAAAACTCATACATCACAGGGAAGCAGGCATCCATGTTGGTGTCCCTATCTACATTTCTTTATCACAGGGACAAGGTTGTACTGAGGGTCGATACTTCACTACTGAGAAGTCAGCAAACACTTCTACTATCAGGGTTTACACTGTATGAGCTCCCTACTTTGGTTCAGTGGATTCAAACACTTATTAAATAGCTACATAATATTGTCAGCATGTAGGGTTGTAATATATATTGGGGTTCAATAACAATTTTATACATGGGGAAATGGTAGTGAAAGGGAGAGAGGGGCTAAGGCCCCTACCAAGATTTCAAACAGTCATGAGAAAATGAGCAACATTTACTGCATACCAGTAATGTACATTACCAATGCCTGGAAAGGGGTGGAGTACAAATTATGTTTCCACTAACAATGTGGTTCAACAGAAAACTGCTTTAAACTTTTAACTTTTAAAGCTAAGGGAATATAGTCAACAGAATACCTTAAACTTTCCTGCTAGCATTGTTCCTTCTGCATGCAACACCTCCAACTGCTAAGTATCTACACCCGGAAGTTTACCTCACTCTTGCTGTTGGGTGCGTTCGCTTGCCAGGCTACCAAAGGAAGACTGAGAGAAGGAGATTACAATGTAGGTCAAGTGTTATAATAAGCAATGGCATAAATGTACATATAGGACAAAGGACCATACCTGGAGTTTGGAATGTGGCCTTCTCTGACCCCTCTGCCATTAAAGTTTGCTCCCGCCTGCTTACAGCCAACATACATCTCCAGACTAAATTGGTGCTAAAGGACCCAGGTACGTGACCCCTGACCTCCCCCAGCCATCTGTGGGCCTTATGTTGCACTGGGGCAGGACCTATCACTTCCCATCAGGATCAGCCTCACAACTCTGTGTGCTGCTGATAAGAGTAACATTTGTACTGACCACAGCTTCTCATGATCTCAGGAAGACAAGGCCACACTGTGCCATCTAGAGTAGGATCATGCTCCCAAAACCCAGCAATGGCAGTCAGCAGGCTGAATTGATATCAAAGTTTACAATATTTACAATCAATATACCAGCGAATAAAAGTGAATCTAATTATGAACAATTAAATAAAACTCTTAAGTGTACTTGATGTGCTGTGGCTAAGAAAGGGGTAAAATGTTACATGTGTGAGCTACCTACATCCAACTTTTCTGTACTCTACTCTTTGCTACTGGAAACATTACAACTTGAAATGCAGGGTAAGAAAACAAATACCAGTGCCCATCTACTATATTTAGGCCACCAGAGGGTGCCCAATTAGCAAGAAAATAATTAAGGACAATAATAACTATTCTTTCGATATCACAACATTTGAAACTTCTCGACTTGCCAGGAGGTACCACAGCAACAACAGATACTTGTTTATTGTTCAGCCCAGTGCACTGGTGGTGGCTACTTGAAGATAAATCTGACCTGACAGGAGGATGGTTCAAGACCCAGCCCAGGACAGCAGGCATCTGAGGCATGTGGAATGATTTATGTGGATTAAAGCATGGGACATGTTGGAAAAACCAGGGTGTTTCTATACAAATATTTGTCTGAAGCTTGACAACTTCAAACATGACAGTCCTAACTAGTGTGGCAGGATTGACAGGTTTTGGGACAAGCAAGGTCTTCCCTATAACCTAATTGGGACAAGCTAAAGCGATCTTGCACAGAGCAGGGATGATGCTAAATCCCCCAAGGGAAATTCCTGGAGACTGGCAGAAGGTTTCATTCCACTAGCATGAAGTAGGAGTGGTAGCAGGCAAAGCCATAAATATTCCTACAGTAATGAAGGGAGGCTAGGAAGGTGGAAGACTTCCAGACTGTTCCCAGGGCATACACAGGCCAATACACGAGTTACCGGTTTCGCGGCGCCATTTTGGGTCAGAGGTCACCCGGAGCAAAACAAGCCCGGCGCAGCTGGCGCGAGCATGTGAGTTCGCGGAAAAGTGCTAATACGCGTGGCCACGTTGTCTCCGGTTTTCTTTAGCTTTAAAAGCTTTAAAAGCGTGCATTTTCCGTGCTGTCGCCAATCTACCGATAGAAGAAGGTATGTAAAGATCCTGTTCACTACCGTACTATTTATGACTTTTTAAAAACTATTTATGTAGGTAGAAATTGATTGTAGATACTATGTTTACTGCGTTTGGACCCATATGGGGCCGCATGACTTGTCGTTGACAGAATACTAGCAGTAAAAGTTTGTTTTGTTACACATCCGTGCACATATACATTTGATAAAGAACGATTTTTGTGATATATCAAATGATTATAGCTTTATTACCTTGTGTCTAGGAGAGCATGGAAAAGTATGAAGAATTCAAGACGTGGAGGGTACCGGCTCTGCAGGAGTTCCTGAGAGCTAGGGGCTGGAAAACGTCTGGGAACAAGGAGGTGCTGGTGGCAAGGGCCTTCAGTGCGTGGGAGAACGACATCCCACTCCAGCCATCAGCAGCTGAGCTTGCTACAACTGCTCGTAGGGAGTATGCCCAGCTGGTAGCTGGGCTGCCAGATCCTCTCAAGTTCGACGACGAAGCCTGGACACCTGAGAGAGAAGGCATGGAGGGCTGGCCGAATGTCATGTACCATGACATTTGTGACTACTTAATGAAAGACCACCCAGGTACATGCACATGTATTATTGCTGTGTATACAATTTTTATTTGTGATTTACCTTCTTTGACTTACTAAGTATTTTGCTATTTTTTTTCTAATGATGTGGTCTTTTACTTATCAGGTAAGGACCAAGACCTGAACAACAGGCTCCTGAATGCCTACAAGGAAGGCAAGGCCTTCACCTACTACTCCAGTGGCTGGCTACAGGAGGTGTTCACGTGTAAGCGAGATGGCTACATCTACCTGCAAGCGAAGTGTAGGCCATCGGCACGAATCAGTGACACCCCTCATAAGGCATGGGTGTGCTGTCATCCAACAGGCACGATCAACCGAGCCTACTGCTCCTGTACTGCTGGGTGAGTTAACAGATGAATGGCATGTTGTCTATCAATGGATAACTTTGTTAGAAGATTTAACACTTTTTAACACAAATAACATAAAGTTCCTGCTCTTAAGTTTACCACTCTTAACAACTTTTAACTAAAAATGGAACTTGTGCTTGTTTTCAGGATGGGGCAGACCTGCAACCACATTGCTGCGCTGCTGTTCAAGGTGGAGGCAGCAGTCCGGACCAACCTGGTCAACCCAGCCTGTACCTCAACTGCCTGCCAGTGGAACACTGCCCCGGGGAAGACCATCCAGCCCAGAAGGGTGAAGGACATGACATTCAAAAATGACAAGTTTTGCAAGACTGGTGTGTAGACAGTTTGGCATTACATGTGAATAAACATACTTCCACTTGTCGAACACTCTTTTCATGTCTACGTAAAAATAATAGTTCATAATGTGTGTCTAGTAACTAAAGTTTTACTTTTACTGTTGTTGCTCTGATAGAAAACTTCTATAAGAAAGATTATCTGTTCTCATACCCAAATACATGTATGTACAACAAGCAAGAAGTTGACTATTTGGTTAACTTATAACAACACCATGGTCTACAATGTATACTAAACTTGTGTATATGTTTGTTAAGTCACACCATGTACGACCTGTACCAAGTCCTTTGAGACATGAATGTACAATAAAGGACTTACATCATCATCATCATTGTCACAACATTGTGAACTTGAATATTTAACACTTTCTCACGTTGTTGATCATTCCTTACATGTTACCATTGTTACCTACAATGTCCTGTTTCTGTTTTTGTTACCAAGTTGATCTGTGTCAAGTGCTTTCTTCCGTGCGACAACCGATGCAACATCTAAGGTAAGATCTAGATCTGAAGTGAAATTCAGGTTGAGAAAATACTCTAACCATACTAATACATGTATACTAAACCATCCAAGATTGTCTTCTTCAAACTCTAGCTGTAGAACTTATAAGTTACATGTAATGTGACATTGTGATAGTATTACTTTCAGTAGAACTAGTATTTAACCAGTGGTTGTTGAAGGTTGCAAAGTGCTGCGCACACAGTGATCATGTCATCAATCTGGGGTATTAAACTGATGGGAAGTTCATACTTGAGAATACGGAATGTCTTCAGACGTCTGATCGCTTGCTCAACGAAGATCCGAAGGTTTGCGATATCCTTGGTCTTGGCGACTTCTGCCTGTGTCATCTGATGGCTGCCCCTCTTGCCTGGCGGGATGAGCAGCCTGGCGTGATGCAGGGCGACATCTTCCGCTATGGGGAAGCCCCGGTCCGCCATCACCACCTCGTCCCGCTCTAGGATGTCGAGGAACCCGGAGTCCTGGGTCAGTTGCTTGTCGCTTATCCGCCCTCCCCAGGCTTCGGACACAAAGTTGAAGTGTCCAGTTGGTGTGATGGACACCAGGCACTTGAGAGTCTGGTGGTGCTTGTAGTTTGACCATGTCTCCGCCTTAGCCTGGAGGTTCTTTGGTGTTTCAATAAAGAATTCCGTACAGTCTATGATATGTCTTACTTTCTTGTACTTGCTCGTCCTGAACCGTCTGGGTAGATTTGCTCTCTGCACCTCTTCGCTTGGCTTGAAAATCAAGCACTTCAGCTCAGAGGCCAGGAACTTCAGCGTTGCAGTCAGGGCACGTGAGCAGGTTGCGTTTGACACACCAAATCTGTCGGCGAGGTCTTCATTCAGCAGACCAAGCCTTAGCTTCATCAGCGCCATCACTAGCAAGTCCTTTGCACTCAGTTTGGTTCTGGGTCCAAACTTCTTTGGGGACTTGGCGAACCTCCGCACACCTGTTGGCAGAGCACTGGCACCCCTCCAGAATCGGATCTTCTTCAGTTTTGGTGCCATGTAGCTGTACAACTGGTCAAGTGCCTGGCGGTTTGGGAGCCCAGTGTAGAACTGTACTTTGGTGTCATCCGTCAGCTTGTCATAGCTGAACTGGCGCTGAGTCCTATTCAGTTTCAGGCTCGCCGCTTCCAGTTTTAGTTTAGTGTTCATTTGCTTCAGCCTTCGAATCTGTGCATCCTTTGCATTGCAGCTCTGACATGTGTCATCAGTTTCTGCTGGAGGAATGTCATAGTCATGGTCTAGGCTGGCTGCTGTAGGGACGCTGCTACCACTGGCGGTGGTCTCGTCACTTGTCGTGCTTTTCTTTCCACGCCCCTTTTTTGATGAAGTCTCAACAGGTGTGCGAGGAGTAGGCTTCTTTCTTGGCTTTGGCGTAGTTGAGTGAAGTCTTGGTGTGTTCATGTGTTGTGTTGGCCAAGGGTTCGCCTCTGTAGGCTCACCATCCACAAAATGGATGGAGCAAATGCGAGAGTCATCATTTGGAACCCAGATTTTGCTTCGTTTCTTTTCATCTTGTCGACAAACACGCCGGGTCCATTCCTTTCTAGCCTCAGGTTTTTGTAGTTCTGTGGGGAAGGGATGCAGTCGAAACGGTTCGGGGCACTCGCAGCTGAAGTGGACTCTGTTGTGGATTGTACAGGTTTCATCCCGCCAGCGTTTAAGTTTTCTGCCGCCGTTGTGGCAACCAATCACACAGCACTGCCTCCGGGACATCCTCAGCTGGATCCAGTCTGTAATATACAATTAAAAATAGGCATCAAATAAAGCACTCATGTGACATTAATAAGTAGTAAATAATTATTAAATATCAAGTATACCCTTCATTTTTTAATTTTTTTTCTGTCTTAAATTACAGATTCCCGACAAGCGGCTTCAAGACAGAAGAGACTGTTCCAGCCAGTAGGGGAGAAGCGTCCAGTGTCTGATGACATCAAAAGAGACAACCTGGCCAAGGTTCTGCGAAAGGCAGTGCCAGAGGCTGCGTTCTTCACTGCCCTGGAGGAACAGCCCCACCAGAAGGAGGTGCCATCAGCACGACCTGTGACTCCCCAATCCCTTGCAATGGACGTTTTGGCTAGGTCGTATACCTATGATAACCGTATGCAGTTTGTAAATTCTTTGATCATTAGCAAGGATGATGTCCAAGTTATAGAGATGGCTACCAGGGCCCAGAGTAAGTCCCCCATCTGGAGTATGTCTCGGCGAGGCAGGATTACTGCTTCCAACTTCTATGGTGTTTACACTAAAGTAAAAACAATAAAATCAAAGCCTGACACATCAACAGACGCCCTTCTGGCAAAAATAATGGGCTATTCCCGTGTAAGTGAGAATATACCAGCTTTAAAGTATGGAAGAGAGATGGAGGAGGAGGCGAAGAATAGTCTGTTTGAGAGTTTTTCCAGTGAGCACCAAGGTGCACAGTGCACCCAGATGGGCCTTGTCCTATCAGAGCACAGGGCCTACCTGGGTGCTTCACCTGATGCTAAGTTCAGTTGCAAGTGTCATGAAGATGTTGTAGTAGAGCTCAAGTGCCCCCTCTCCTGTAAGGACACTGCACCAAATGCCACCATACTTGCCTACCTGTCTGAAAGCCCTGATGGAGTCCAGCTCAAGCGGAACCATGCGTACTACGCACAGTGTCAGGGACAGATGGCCCTGACAGGGTGTAGGTCATGCATATTCTTTGTATATAGTAGACATGGTAGTATTAAGGTAAATATAGACTTTGACAGCAGCTACTGGGAGGACTTGTGTTCTGCTCTGGACTACTTCTTTGAAGAACATGTTGCGCCTGAGCTGATCACAGGTAAGCTGAAGGCGCACATGGACGGCAAAGATAGTAGTCCAGTAGCAGGCACAAGTCAGTCCAGTGCACCAACAAGTCAGTCTACATGTAGTTCTAGTAGTACTAGTAGTAATGGCCATGCACAGGCCCCTGTCATGTGCCCTACATGTGCCAAACCCTGCCTGGACAATTTCAAGAGGTTCAGTGATGGCAGTGTGGGGTGTGATGTCTGTGACAGGTGGTATCACTTCAAGTGTGTAGGTCTTAAGAACTCACAGCAGGTGAAAAAACTACCTTCCACATGGAAGTGTCCTAACTGTAGCTAAATGAAGCCACAGTGGCTTGTGGTATCTAATCTACCACTATCAAGTTTTCTTGATAGACACTACTTTACAAATCATGAACACTCATGTTAGATAGTTACATGTAGTTTTATTACAATCTGTAAAATATCATGCATATACAACTTGTAGAGTAACATACCAGGTTCCAGTTAGGATCTTCCAGTTAAACTGCTAAAGATCCTCCTATCAGAACAGACACTGTGGAAAGAAAAAAAAATCTATGAAATATTATGTTCCTATGTAGTGGTGTTATGTACATATGTATATAAAGATGTAATATAATCAGAACAGACACTGTGGAAAGAAAAAAAAATCTATGAAATATTATGTTCCTGTGTAGTGGTGTTATGTACATATGTATATAAAGATGTAATATAATCAGAACTGGCACTGTGGAAAGAAAAATCTATGTCACGATGTCTACTTTTGTGTAAAAACAGTTCTGTACAAATTATGTATGTGATTGTGTTATGTACATATGTAAAATGAACAAGGCGTTATATATCGGTGTAAATAAAAGGATGTATTCAACAAATCATTGCAAATTTTACTGCCTACAAGACCCCAACATACTCTAGATTCATCAAATGCCCATCTAGAACCAAAGAAAATCTTTCAGTTTAGTCTTACAAGTTATACTGCATAAATGCACCCCCCCCCTCCCCGGTCCACATTTATCAACAAAAAGAACGCAGTAAACACGCTATCTACGATCTATTTTTACCTACCTAAAACAGTATCAAGGTCTTTACATACCTGTAGCACTCGGTAGATATACGTAGCGGCGGAAAAATCACGATTAACGGGTAAAACAAGACGAGAACAAGCTTAGACCGATCCGCGCGTAGCTGTAACAGCGTCTTCCGGCTTGGGTTGCTCCGGGTGACCTCTGACCCAAAATGGCGCCGCGAAACCGGTAACTCGTGTATACATATCACTGCTTGAAAAACCACGTTTCCAAGAGTTTCCAGTCCCGCACACGCCCGTGAAATTCGCCGTGTCCTGGTCGCGTCCATGGATTTCCGGTCTCCGCGTGTACGGCCCCGGATATTTCCTTACACTCCCGGATTCGTGCTCGCCGTGCACGTGCACGGAAATTTACGCCCCGCACACTTGGCGTGTGTTGGGGAGCGGCTAACAATAAGGGGTAATTAGGTACTGCGTGTATTCATGTTTCAGGTGATAATTACTTGAACCAAAGTTGCCAGCACTTTAATCTAAGCAAATTGGATATAGAATGATCAAGGATTGTTAATACAACATTTGAACCTATGCGTCCTTGGCTTGATTTATCGTGATGTCGTCCATACGACAAAGCACATTTGAGCGTAGGGCGCCCCGACGCTGGGGTTATATGACCTACTCGGTCAAAATGACCTAAATCTACACTCCGGTCTAAATCTGAATTAATTTTTATTTTGGAAATAATAGTTTATCTGTGAGGTTCATTACCATGATGTAATCAAACGCTTGACTAAAGGGGTTTGAACTAACGTGACCTGATCAGTTTGTTATAATTTTTAGGTACATGTATGGGTAATAATATGCAAGCTTTACATTGTAGTTCGGTCGATGTGTATTGTGATGTGTCTGACATGGCGTCCATTTATGTGAATAGCCTTTGTGTAAACAAAGGGAGAACTCACAGCGTCCCCATGCCTGGTAAAATACTGAAATCCAGCAAAACAAGTCAACCCTCATGACATTAATTGTGGATTTTGGATACATTTACAAAGAGTAAGGTTATGTTGGAGTTGAAGTGCGGTTTTATTTCACTTAGTGAGCGACAAGTTGTGTAATTCTAGAACGAATAAAGCCATGTAATCATGACGAATTAGAATTATGAAGATCATTTGTCTGCCTTGAAATAGATACATTCACACAATCAGAAACATCCTATCATCCAAGTGTTCAGACTGCACAGGCGATTTAACTTAAAACCTATAATATAAAAACAAGATGGTTGTAGTATTGAACGCGATCACGTGATTATATGACTGACGACCAATCCTACCTCGCTCTCGCCGGGACCAGCCAATAAGAGACGCGATGCTTTGTTTTGGTGGGTCGTTTGAATCTTGCTTTGTCACAACGACGGTTTGCTTTTTCAAAACACGTTTGTCTCGGCTTGCAAAGATTACTAGTATGTTCCTGAACTAAATGGCGTCAAACATTCCGTTCTGTTACTTCGTTTTCGCAACGGAAGAAATGACTCTACTACATTGAAAGGACAACACCGCAACGAACCAGCAAACCGACAGGAGGAAGGGTAAGCTAAAACAAGGATACTATTATATATACGGCACTATCGTTACATATATCTTAAACATGTTGTTTAAAAACCTTGACTAAGTTGTGCCTACGGCAGAAATATTTATTTTGGACAAGAAGTGTACACTTATTTTTTACTGATTAATAACATAGTTTATTATTTCTACTTAGAAGTACATCGATATAGTTTGTATGTTGCTCAGAACATATGTACTTTTTTCACGGAGGATACTTTGAGACGATTTGAAGAAACTTTATCGCCAGGCTGTCGGAGAGCTCAGAAAAGAAAGAAAGAAAAGCGACAGCAGTCACACAGAAGAGGGTGAGTCTATGCAAATGTATATCTTTGCATACGAAGGCCGACAAGGCTCTTGACAATTTGAATTGTTTTCATTACCGAGGGAAATGTTGTGATTGTATTGTTCCCATGATTACAATGAAAAGAAACAAGGAGACGTTGATGCTTGATAAATGGAGCCTTTTCATCTGGACAAAATTGTTGCTGTCTGACGTTAAAAACATTCGTTAAAAATGATAAATGACTTCTCCTCGAAATGTGTCCATACAGACGTCCGCATCTTTGCCAGGCTTGTTTATAAAACGTCTAGTACATGTACACGTAACTTCAAATGAAATTCAAAAATGCCTTCGACTTTTGACTTAGATTTTCGTTTT